CACAGTTTTGTTTTTGTTTTTTTAAAGACCTCGTCCATTATACCGTCATGTTTTAATAATGAACTGAGCCTGGATAAAATGCTCTTGCTTGTGTCAACAGTCTATGAATTGAAATCTGTACAGATTAGATCCCGGCAAAAAGCTATTGAACGTTAACATAGAAAAAAGGCCACAGAAACGGATCTACAACACTAGAAAAATTTAGAATAAATAAACAAACCAAAAAAAAAAAAAAAGTTACTGTGACATTTTTTTTTAAAATGTATGACTTTTCTTCATTTGTAATACATTTTTTTTTTAAATGTATGACTTTTCTTCATTTGTAATAATGTTACACAGCTTAACATACCTAAGCCTGGACGTAGCCTGCACAGATTTTCTTTGTGGTTTTACTATGAACAGCTGCAGTTGGCAATTAGCTGAGTAATAAATCAGTCAAGGGCACACGTGACTGTCTTAATGAGGAACAGGATAGAACAACCCACCCGCCTTCTTAAGGCAACCCTGCTCCTCTAGCCTCTTTAGCCAGCTAATTAAACATGCCCTTCTGTTGGTTGGTGGGTTTATGGAGGGTTGAGTGCATTTGTTGATCGCTGAGGTAAAGACACCTTATGCTGAACCAAGGTCTTCCCAGAAATGCATAAAGACTAATTTCAAAATGGCAAAAAAAAAAAAAAATTCACATATGTCCTGCAGTACAACCCAGGATATATCATCTGTGAAGTGGACCACTGCAAGCTCATAAACTCTGTCACTGTGGCACAACTTCCTGTCGATCTCTCCATCACTTTGCTCACACCGTGTGTTCGTTGTGTCTCACTTTTTTTTTTTTCGGTTTTGTTTGCTGAAGTATGCCAATGCTAGAGAAGCTGTCCATGCCATTAGCAGTGAGGCTAGCTGGTATTACGAACTGCCATGTTTTTGTCCATGCATTAAGAACTATTAAGTGAAAGATATCATATTTACAGTACAATTCACATGTAATTACACATATACACTAGAGGCAAGAAAATTCACATTGAAAACAGTTGAACACCCCCCCCCCCCCCCCCCGCCCCCCGCCCTGCTGTACTCAAAATAAACATGTTTTCTCTCTTAAGCAAAGACCCTAAAGTGAAAACGAAGAACGGAACGTCATCACAGCTGATGGATATGCAGATTTTGTGTCGGAAAAAAAAAAAAAAAGATCAGGTTATACATCGTCAGAGTGGAATGAGTGGTGAAACTATTTAGTGAGAGCATGCAAGGGCTGCAAGTGTTCCACAACAGTAGGCATCAATTACAGCTTTTACAAAAAGAACATAGATTACAAAATAGGCATTTTGTATCAATAACTGTAATTAAACCAACCCAAACGAGATGGGAACAGTGTCAGTACTTTCCATGCATTTGCTGAAAACACAGGGTTGATGAATAAAGGCTTTCCAACTGGACCAAATCTACTGATTTATTTGGGGAAAAAAAAAAAGAAAAAGAAAAACCACCAGGCGTTGTGCTTTACCTGCACTGGAACCAATATCAATATGTTTGAAATGATCGAAAGAAGATGTGAGTATGTGACCAGGATGAGAAAAAGATATAAATAATATTAGTTCTACAATCCCGCAATCATGTCCACTATCCGCATCTTTTATAGGTCTTTTACTTAAAAGAAAGTGCTACCCTCAAACACAGATTTTAATGTCCATGTCCAAAATTCTGAAACCTGACTAAAAACCACGAGCTGTTGGCTCCTCATCTCTGCTAGAGATTTGCCTCTTTAGGCTACATCGGCTGGTTCTAGCAAAACACCCTAACACATAGGGGCTGCGGGGGGGTCACTTTGGATTCCGGGGTATGTAGTTCAAACTAGCTGACAGTATAGCATGAACCAAAAAAAAAAACAAAAAACTATTATTGTGAAGGTGCGAGATGTAACATGGTGCCATCAATAAAGATGAACCAAAAAAAAACAAAAAAACCAAAACTATTATTGTGAAGGTACGAGATGTAACATGGTGCCATCAATAAATCTGTATGAAGTCTTTAGTAAAGCACTAATGTCTTGGCCAGAGAGTGAAGTCTCACTGCATTATCAGGTCTGTTTATTATCAGCTGCGCAAATCTTATAGGAAGTACCGTAGGAAAGGTCCGAGCTTTTGTATGAATATTTTTGTGCGAAAAATGGTAATATTCCAAATTTAGAAAATAAGCACATTTGACTAATTTTTGTAAGATTTGTTGCGTGAGTGATTGGGGGCTTAGTTTCAGGCTAATTGAGTTTACGTTTAAAAAGGCCCAGAAAAGACCATCCAACTTAGTCTTTCGCTTCCACTTTGCACATCCTTATAAAGGGGCACTGTGTCCTGTCTTTGTCTAAGTAAGTCGCAGCGTACGTTGCGCTGGCTGAAGAGTTGTTTGAACAAAAACATCTGCTATCGTTTAGCATGTGACGCTAGACCAGATGCCGACAGTACTGGCTAGCTTGTCGGTGACACTCCTAATCTAAGGAAACCAAACTTCTATGCTATCGGCGTAGTTTTGTGAGTATTTGAAAGAGTTCCCGCAAATGATGTCATCTCAGTATCGACCATTACCAAAATAGATAAAAGATATACCTCATTAAAATGCGCTAGCTAATGCTAGAAAAGCGGACTTGTTAGCAAGGCACGTCTGCTATGAAAACTTTGTAAAATCATCCTGTTAGTGCTCCCGTGAAAACAAAAAAAAAAAGTCTGCGAGTTCGATTTCACTTCTACTACAACCTTTAGCATGTTGTCCTGTTACCCATTTCCAAGGCTATATCTTTCCATCACTAACTCTTGTCAAGTACCAAAGGTGAGTAATGGAGTTGTGCTCTAATACTGGTCATACTGTTATTTCAATGGAGGCTCCTGCAACCCACTATACTTAGAGTATCGGACCTTACAATTCTATCTGAATTCTCTTGGATTTTGCTCAGCCGTTTGACTCGGTTCGAATCAACTTACGTTTCTGTATTCAAAGCCATTGTATTTTGAACTTCTTTTCCAACTACATGAAGACATCTAAACAATCATCATACCCACCAGTTATGCAAAACATACTTAATACTGAATATTTATTTTCCAAGGAACACAATTAAACCTGACGGAGGGCTCGAATGGTAACAACCTGTGCCACAGTCCTTCACATTTCCCACAAACATTAAATACAATTCATTTCCTTACTTTTGGGAACTGTCACTGTGTGATTGGTCAAAAGCTTGGACACGCAATAGATTGTTCAGCTGCAGACAAACAGAACATTATGCTCAGCTTTGTATCTTTTCTTTCATTTTTTTTTTCTTCCTTTTCCCGTTTCTGATACTTCGACAATACACAAATTATAAAAAGAGAAATACAAGACTCCGTTCGCAGCTCAGGCCACATGACCGCATAAATTTTACTCTGACGTATGGAGAAAAAAAATTGGGTTCCCGATCACTATTCCGTTTTGAAGACGTCTTCTGCGTACTTCACACCGAGGGGGTGGATATGTTTTTCCGATGATAGATTCTCCTGTTTTGTCATCTTCATCTCATTACCCCGCTGCTTTTCCATCTTGCTCATGCCCCCATGTGTTTGTGTGCAGTGTATGCCAATTTTCTTTTGTTTGTCTCTTGAGCATATCTCTCCTACCGCACTCGTGTTGCTCCTATTCTAACGAGACAATCGCTTTCCTACTATAAAGGACTCCGTGCTTGATTTGATGGTGTAGGTTTTGCTCAGAGACTCCCGTTCCCTGCGGAGCCTGTTTGTGCCTGAACTTGAAGATGAAGTTGCTGAGCTCAACAGGCTTGGGACAATTTGATCTTTTTGCAAACTTGAAAGTCCTTTCTTTCTTATTTTTCATTTGCCCCGACCGCTACGTCATGTTGGAGCTTCTTTCGTCTGTCACGCTATAATGCTGTCAAAGATAAATGTTTTTGGTGAATTCTCGATCGAATCAGTTCAGAAAAGGGGAAAAAATCACTTCGGCCACAAAGCTACTCAGACAATGGGTGGTACTTTGATAACCGCCCTGTAAAAGGGTGACGCGCAAGTCGAGATTTTCCTCCTAACTCTACAGAATCGGTTAAAGAGATGAAGGACTTGCAAAAAAGGGAATGACTCCCAAAACATATTTAAATAAAAATCAGCGTCAATAAATCATAATAATTGTGTTTTAAAGGTCCAGTGTGTAGCATTATTAAGGATTTAAAGTGAACCCATCACCCATATGAATTAGTGAGATGTGCGATAATATCGGCAACTCCGATAATGAAAACCCGTTAAGACGATGACTGGGTTTCAACTAGATGATGTGACCTAAAAATGGCTTTGAAGCACACGGACGCATATATTGGTATTGTCGATATCTGAATTGGAAATTAAGTGTGACAATATCAAATATCGGGAAAAAGTTAATATCGGGCATCCCTAATATTAATAAAAGAGTATGATTACTTACGAAATATTTTGTTTTGTTCCCGGAGGGCCTATAACAATATTCCTAACCAGAGGTTCACATACTTTCTCTTTTTATTTACACACTCCTATCTGAGGTTATTGGTAGACAGCGAAATCTTTCCGACTGTTTCGTACATCCAGTCGCTGTAACTACAGCATTTACGAATTCTTATACAGATGTTGTCGAAAAAAGGGAAGCAGCATTAGAATCACGTCCCTGCGATTTTCTGGAGCAGTTCGGTTTAGATTCTATTTTCGTTTAAGTTTAAGTATATTTGGGGAAGTTTCCAATGACCCAGACAAGAGTCTTAGCCAGTGTCAAGAGACACAGGTTGGAAGTTATTGACTTTAAACATCTCTCTCTCATGTTACCAAAATCTCAAGGTCTGGTACCGTACCACAACCAAGAAGTTATGGACCTCTGCTCTACAGGGGCTTGCTTTATTTCCTTAGTCAACAGGTGTGAATCGCTTTCTTTATCGCTTTTCTTTGGGTGGATGTGGAATAGTTAGTGTTATTTGTCTTACAGATAAAAAATCGCCAGTGCCCTGGTCTTTTATATATAATTGACTTTTGGCAAGATTGTATAAGTGAATGTCATTTCTAGGGATGGCTCCATCCGATACTCTGGATCGGTAACGGTCCAATATTGGTCAAAACGTCCGGATCGAACATTGGGGAAAAAAAAACCAAAAAAAAAACCTGAGCTAATAGCTAAGCCCAAATCAACTTTACTTTGAGCCACATGCCGTGAACGGGGACACTATAGCCTCAGCAACAGCAACCGTGCGATTCTAGAGGACAAAAGAAGGTATTAGATTGACATGGTTATCGACAGATACTCCAAATTGCAGTATTGGTATCGGACATGAAAGAGTTGCATCGAGCCATACCTATATTTGAAACGCTTTGTTGGACTGACTGAACTGTCCAGATCGTACTCTATCTTTGCAGATGGCCACTAGCTTTGGTTCCGGTCCTTCAGCAACCCTAAAAAGAATTAAGTATGAGAAAATAAATTAAACATTCATTTAATGCGAGAGCTAAAAATTAGAAGTCAAGAGAGAGGAGTTGGTAGAGCAAGGGTTAGAAACCTTCAGACTAACCATGACGTCATTATTTTACACACTGGACCTTTAACTAGATCATGTTAAGATTTAACTACCGTGAAACCTTCATCCTTTGTGATGATAAATGAAAAGCTTTCGAGTCTTCATATTTGTTAGCAAGTGAAGTGAGCATTTGATAGAACTGAGAGTGAAATAAAGCAAATGTGTTTGATAAATCAAAGACCGTTTGGACTCTATTTGAATTCATGGCTATTGCATGGTCATCAACATTGAACATTGTGTGTACTTCAGCTGAGGGAACCAGTCAGCGCGGCTGGGAACATTTGAAGAATGGCACTGATTTAGTCTTGCAATACAAATCATTTTCTTTCTTTTTTTTTCACATCCTCTGCCCAGGCCGAGCTCAACCAATCATGTGATCCTGCCTTCAGAATCGGACCCTAACACTGAAGATATGTCAAACAAACATAAATACTCTATAGTGAAACACAACTGGCCAAACTGCGAGTGGCTACATTGACTCTTTTGAATGTACATGTTCTCACATCTTCACCGCGGATAAAAATTTCAAAACGAATCACAACATCGAAACCTCCTTTTTTTTCTCTTTTTTTTTTTTCTTTTGGATCAAACACAAAGAAAGATATGTTCTCAATGAACTCTGCATCTAAAAGCGTGTGAATCAATTGATAGGTAGGAAAGAAACGTACAAGTATACTTGTATGGGAATACTGTATGATGATAAAATGTACAGAATGATTAATGCACACCTTCGACCCATTTACCAAATAATGCCCCAGCTCTAGAACATGTTCTGACACTTGATGAAATCACAGTATATTTTTTTTTTTCTCAAAGAATAAATTATATCTACAATATTCAGCATTTATGAGCCCCGACTCCAGCTCCGAGGACGCGTCTCCAAAAAGGACATGAGTAAGAGAAAGAAACGTGAGTTTGCGTTGACTCTGTGCAGAAATGACGCGGTCAAGCCTTCCATTCTGCAATGGCTCTCTAATGGAGACCATTAGGCTGCAGTTGATGTCTGATAAAGAGAAGAATATCACGTCAACAAACCCAAGGAACAACACATAATCCAAACAAGGTTGCTGTACATAGTGGAGCTGGAGGTTTCCGTGCCTGTTATCCATGGGTAATGGTGTGTTTGTGTGTGTGTGTGTGTGCGTGTGTACACTGGGGGGATTTGAGTTTGGTGAGAACGACGAGGGAAGGAAAAAGGGTAGAGGAGGGTGGTGGTGCAAAGAATCTCTCTCACTCAGCTGATGCTTGCACGAGCCACCACAGACTTCATGAGCTGCAGTATAGTAGAGGATTTTTTTTTTTTCCCCCCGAATACAATAAGTATCAATAAAAGTCAATGGGACTCTGAGAAATCTTTTTCGGTCTCTAGAGCTTTCATCTTCTCTTTTTTTTCCTTCAAATTTTTTAGCAAAAATATCATGCATGTCTTTAGTTCCAAAAATCCCAGGTGGGATCTTGTGTTTGTTCGTTTCCGGAGGAAAAGAAACTGAAAGCCTAAAAATTGTTTTTTTTTTTTTTTTTTGTCTTCACAATTACTCTTAAACATTCAAGTCATCCTATTAATTTTTTTTTGTACATCGGAAAGGTCCTTCAGATTTCACACGTGTATATATAAATATAATATATAGAAATATGCATATACATATGTTCAATTTGTATATGTGTATACATATTTTGGAAATGTATCAAAGCCAATTTAATGTGCTCTCAAAATATGGCCCATGATTCCTAGTGGGATGCACATCAATTCACATAGTACAACCAGTAAATTAGGTTGAAAAATCCAAAGGTGATGGGGAAAATGACACGGGACCACTTGTCAATGGTGCTAACATCTGTCAGGTTGGGGATTTTCAACTTGAGCTTGGAGGAGCGTCGTCGTAGTCGACAGTTGGCCCGGCTACGCATGGTGCTCCGATCCAGCGAGTGGTGGCTGAAGCCATCGCGGGGCGCCATGGGCTTCCTGAACTGGACCCCGGAGCTGTCAAAGGACATGACAGAATTCCTAGAGTCACTGACGCTGCTCCCCACGTCTGAAGGCATCACTTCGTTGTTCATCTCAAGTGTTGTGAGGAGGATGTTTCCATAGGCATCCACCTGCAAAGAGGAGGGAAAAAAAAGGACACAAAAAGTCAGCAAAGTCTAAAATGTCAACAATGGCCCCGTTCTACCCAACATGTTAAACTTACAGTAGCCCCCCCCTCCCTTTCCCCATGCTTTCAAAGCTAGAGCAAAATGTAGGAATGATATGGAAATGTCAATTTGTTGCATGCAACAGAGATAATTAGCAAATTTTAAAACAACAGACAGTTAATGGTAAAAAATGTGACACAATTACTTTGAACAGTAACAGCCTTTATCCTGGCCTACAGCTGATATAATTTCTAAATACATGTACCCCAACTTTTCTTTGTTCCTCGAGATACAGATTTCTTCTCTGTGTAAATGACCTGAAGGTGTTGGTTTGAAACGGCGCTGAAATGGAGTCCTTGCAATGTGAAAGAAAAAATGAAGAGATCATTAAAAAATGACTATAGAGTACTGGAAAATAAGCACATTTTAGAGCATTACTCAGCGCATAGAAAACAACGTCAACAGTAACATTTTTGAAATTAAAAAAAAAAATTGAAAAAAAACATTGATTTTAGCATCATTCTGTCACAGAGAAAATGTCGAAATTTCCTAAACACTTTGATGCTGCATTTTTAAGGTTTTTGTCATTTTATTGGGCCATATGTTATCCCACTGTGAAAATGAAAGAAAAAAAAAAATCAAGCCTCTAGCAAAACAACGACAATAACCTAAAATAAGAAATGTTTACACCACTGTTGAACTAGATGAATCACTGCATCAATGAAAAAAAAAGCTGTGCTATTAAAAAGCTTCAAATGCTTGAGGGAGAAGCAATGGAAATGGGTAATGAATGCATATAGGCCTGTGTGGCATCAGTTTGTTTCTAAAGGCCAATTGTTGCTATAGGTGTCTTCAGGGGAAAAACACAGGTGGCCCGAACCAACATCAATGTTTTGTACTCAGACTGACCGACAGACAAGAAACAACAACAACAAAAAAAAAAAAAACAACCATCAGACATAGTTGCAAACCTGTTCCCTTAGGCGTTTCTCTTCATATCTTGAGCGCTCGTTGTTGGATTTGCCCAGCCTCTCGCTGAGTTTCTTCTGTTGCGCAGGGCCTCGGCCAAAGAACACGTAATTTACAAAGGCATATTCAAGCAGGGCCAGGAACACAAACACAAAACAGCCCATGAGGTAGACGTCGATGGCTTTCACATATGGAATCTTTGGGAGAGTCTCCCTAAGGTGGGTGTTAATTGTTGTCATAGTAAGCACCGTTGTCACACCTGAGTACAGCAGCACACACACAAAAACAAACACAAACAGAGGGTCCAGTGTTAGATAGAAGATACACAGGAGCGCAGGCTTCAGTCATAGGAATTGACTTGAAAACATTAAAGATCTAAAAAATTGTTTAGATACACCTTGAAATTGTAAGCTAGGATAATCAGTAAACTGGTTCGCATCCCTGCACAGTACTTTGTTGCAATTGTAAAATATGTTTAGTGTGTATTGTGTATTCATTCCAGGGTGATGTGAGAAATACCTTCTATGTACTGCTTGTATGTATATAAAAACAGATATCAACAAATATATATACTATAAAATAATAATAATTAAAGAAAACATTTTATATTATTGTTATAAAAATGGGTAAAATAACCAAGCGAGGGACAGTGAGCAAAACAGTGCAACAGTGTCGAGGGGTAAATCTGTGTATGTCTTCCAGTCCAGAGTGAAGTAACCACCACATCGTAACCACTACAAAAAAATTTAAACAGGGGGGCAGCGTTCGTGAGAACTAAGATAAATGACATGTAAAAGTCATGTATAAAGGCTAAAATGCTTTTAGCATTTCGGCATTTTAGCACCATCTATTGGGAAAACGTGGATATTACAGGGAAATGTCAGAAGTTTAATGATAACATAAAAAAATTATAAATTTTGAAAAACGTTGGAGGGCCGAATTAAAAAACCGAACGGGCCACATCTGGCCCCCGAGCCTTAGTTTGCCCATGCCTGCCTTAGTTGTTTATACGCATGTGTAGCTAAAGAGGACAGATTTAGACTGAGATGACTTACACTGCTGCCCGTGTATCTATATGTATACCTGTATGTAGTTAACAAAATATTTAGCATAGCCTCACGTGGTGTCATCTGCATAAGATGATAACTTAGCTATTACAGTACGGTACGCCGACCTTAGTTCTTACATAACATAGGAGATAGATTAATGACAATTCACATGGATCGCATTGGTTATAAAATGTTTGCTAATACTAAATATGTAATACAAGTGTTAATGTGGAAATCAGGGGAACGTTACACAATTACAAGCCCCGGAATAAGTGTGAAATAACAATAATCGGTCAATAATAATAATAAATAATCAATCGTCACTCACGGATTAATTGGTTCACAGGGTATTTGAATTATTTTCCCTGCGATAAACTATATATGACCATAGTATAAAACATAGGAATCACATAGGGAAATTGAAAAAAAAAAAAATCAATTTCCCACTGGTGACTACTTCTTACCCAGGGCCACCCTTGCTGCAGAGGCATCATAATTAATCCAGAAGGAGACCCAGGAGAGGATGGTGATCAAGATAGAGGGCATGTATGTCTGCAAGATGAAATATCCGATGTTCCTCTTAATTCGGAAACTAAGGGAAAGCCTTGGGTATGAACCTGAGAGGGGGAAAAAAAAAATTGAAATATTACTAGGAGCCTAAGAGAAAAGTTAGAACACGAAAAACACAGTCAAAAGACCTAACCTATGCCTAATTAAGTACTTTTACTGACAGGAATCCCTAAAGGCAATCTTTCACAGTGTAAGAGTGAAAAGATTGGTTCAAAATTGGCACAACGGAAGAGTTCTGCACTTTGACAACGTGCATCCTGGTCTTTTCTCCATTTGTTCAGATGGAGCACTTAATTTCCCCAAAGCGATGGATTCCTTTCCAGGGACAAGTTCGATTCCAATTAAACATTGCCGAAAGTCGCCAACGTGGCAGATTTTTCTGCAACCCCCATCTCAGCAGGCAGTTGCAGCGTCCCTCTGAGAATTGTCACAGCGAGCTGCTCTGCTTTTTCCTCTGCACTTCTCTGTCCCTTTAAAACAGTGGGCCAGGAGTGCATTTTAAAGGTGAGTGACTGTAACGTATGGTATTATACACTGAATGACAAAACGTAAGTAGTGTAGCGGATGCTTGGAAGCATCCCACGTGGATGCATTGAAAGCAAGTTTCCGGAGAAAGTATTGGATTTTTGATTGTTTTAATTCAACTATAACAACATACTGCCGAGGCTAAAAAAAATATTAAAAGAATGTACATGTACTACGAGTCACAGTGATTTACGGTATTATGAGAAACAAATATATTCCGTACATTTAAGTCACTGTAGTCTGGCATGCAGTAAGTGGGATGGCTTTAATGTAAAAGGCTATTCACTATGTGGAGTGCACAGTGATGAATGGCCTCCTGTACCGTAGCTCTTTTAATGAATCGATACTTTTGCATGCACGCCGGATCAGGTCTGAGGGCGACGCCTAGCTCTTACAGGCACTTTGCATAATAAAGGAAATCACACATGACCATTTACATGAGTGCTGCTACAGCTAGAGTGCAACGATTCCTCCACATGAATGAACTGATACAACAATGGAGCCTTGTTGCAATTAGTTCCAACAACCGAATGATCCCTCCCTATGCAGTTGTACTTAGACATAAGCTGCCACATGTGCATACAAGTGCAAGGTAAGCAGATAAGCTAAGGGCTACTGTTGCCAACGTCCTTTCATTCGAGGACCACATCAGTGTTCAATGTTCAGCACAAAAAAAAAACAACAACAACAAAAAAAAAACAAACCAGAAGAATATAAAAGACTGCGCACCTTTTTTCTAATACACTGTGACATAATGAAAAAAAAGAATACCGTAATTTCCGGACTATTGAGCGCACCTGAATATAAACCGCACCCACTAAATTTAGAAAGAAAAAAAGGAATTGTTCATATATAGGCCGCACTTCTCTATAAGCCGCAAGTGTCCATGTTGTAACATAGGATATTCACACAGAAAGATTTTTCACTTTTAATTCAATAAATGCTTTTTTCCCCCGTACAGTGCCTGTAACACGGCTGGTTACACGTTAGCTCTTTCCTGCTTCGGTGCCACGGCCGTAGTTGGAATGTACAGGGGAGACTTAGTGATCTGCTCCAGGGTTGACGCTAACATTAGCTCCGGGGCTAACTCCCTTTACATGACAGGGCTCCAACTGCACTCAACTTTCGCTACCGTTCGCTCTCTCTCGCGCTCCTCGCACATATCGTACGCACACAGTCATTCACAGACATACATACGCTACTAGCATAACACAGAGTATCCTACCAGAAAAGTCATTGATCGCTTGTGGTATGAACTTCGTTAGCTCGTAGAAATCCATAAATTAGCCGCATCATTGTTTAAGCCGCAGGGTGTGAAAAATCTAGCATCTTATAGTCCAGAAATGACGGTAGCTCCAAAGCATAATAACTATTATAAGTACACAGTCAGTCTTTTTACTATGCTCAGTCATGTCATTGATGTATGACTTTAGACACAGAACATTTTTCTGCAATCTCATCTTAGGTAGCAGCATCTGGCTGTTCCTAACTCAGCTCAAAGCCTTCTATAATGCTGTTATTCTTTTACAGTTTTGTTGACTGTGAAGTTTTTGAGGATGTGGAAACTTGCATATAAAATGTTAGAAAATAAATTGCCTGGTACGATCAAAAAAGATACAGCAGATTTAATTACGCTCTTACAGTGGAGAGTTGCACTACAACAGTAAAAAGTATTTAGGTGAGAACGCATTTTTTTGTCCCTTAAATCATTTCAAAAATATACCTTACCTGTAGTAAAGGCGACCTCTTTAGAGACCAAGCGGGTGTCGACGATGGAGAACTGAGGTAACTCTAACTTGTCCACACCCGTCACAGCATTGTCGTCTCCTTGCCAGAAGAACACAATGTCATCCGTGGTGTATCCATCTGTGTTGGAGTCAGATCGCATTCAGAGGAGAGAGGGTGAGAATAGCAGGTGTAAGTGCAATGAGAGAACAACCATTTAGGTTTCTATTTTAAGTCAGTTGCAGGATTTTGAATAATGAGTTGAGGTCGAACGGACACATGAACGTGGACTCAAACGAACTTCTTTCCAAAGTTATTGTTTTTTTGTTGTTTTTTTTCCAGTCATTCTTGACTGCTTACAGAATGACGCCCTGACTTTATCTTTACCCTTAATGTTTTGTGCACGGTGCCGACAAGCACATTTTGCACGTGATCTGAATTTTTAAACCAACCAGGTGGTTTTCGTGAGTAATACATTCCCCTGTCTCTTCCCCTATCCAAAACCTACCAGTTTTTATCCTTACCCTAACTCTAATCAAACCATGATTGTAACTAGGGATCTCCGATAATATTGGCCGACTGAGATTATCGAGCCGACATTAGCATAATTGTGTAATATTGATAAGAATCGTGATTGGTTCTTCCTCCAATAATGAAAACCCAGTAATGCAATGCCTCGGTTTTGCCAAATATGCTGTAAATGCTTTCAAATTTCATTTTGTACAGACAATGCTAACTTGTGCAAAAGCTTTAGTGCTTTTAGTGGGGCATCACAACAAAAGTAGGCAAAGTGTTAATTCAACAACAGGAGATACAGTATGTGATGTGAGCTTAAAATAGTTTGGGGGGGAAAAACGTCTGCAAATATCTGTATCAGTTGATATCGTACTCGGAAATGAAGTGTTTGGACGATATCAGCATATCGGATATCAGCAAAAGGTCAATATTGGACATCCCTAATTGTAACCCTAACTCGTCTTGAATTTCAAAATATGCTTTCCTAGAGAGTGGAGAGGTGTAAAATGCCATTGGATGCAGAGCTACAAAGCAAAGGCGTTGCCATCTGACTCCTAAATGGGGTCACTAGTCAGACCACACTACCTAAGATCTATTTCTGACAGCAAGCTAGTAAGATGACAAGAGATCCAGATCCCAAAAATGAGACTGAACAATACAAGAAAAACACCTATCGCAATAGGCAGACTCAAATAATACCAATGCTCAGTGGCTGATGAACCCGAAGACAGGTCACAGCTTCCTAGAGCAAAGTCCAGTTAAATCAAAGGCAGACAGCCAAGAAATTGTGCCAAAAATAAGGAGCTGGAAGGCATCAGGCCCCGACATAATTCACACCTCCTGGCTAAAGGGACTGCACTACATGAATGCCTTGCAGCTCAAATAACCAACTGCTACTGTCTGAAAGTCTCCCAAAGTGGTTGACACTGTGCCAACAGTCCTGATCATAAGGAACCCAGAAAGGTACCATCATACAAATGGCGTATACGCCTGAATCCCCAGTGTTGATATCGTCTCCAAGGTATTGATTGTTTTGGATGTTTGGGATTATCACCTCTTTACTCGTATCTCAAAGGAAAAAAAATTGCTCGAAGGGTTGCTCGTATCTCGGGGATTACATGGATGACATTAAGCTGAATGCCAAGAGCGAGCATGACAAAGATCTAGTCATCAATTTCACCAGGATCTACAACAGGGGCCACCAACGTGGTTGCAACCGTTTGCAAACATTTCCATTGGTTAAACATAATATAATGGAATTTATTTCAGCTCTTGTTGTCCTAATTATAACTGCATTGTTTTTAACAAATCGCGAGCGATGAATGCTTATTGCGCAAGACGAAAAGAAATGTTTTTCAACAAGTGTATCGATGTAGATAAATCTTCTTCTTCTCACTACCATCCTTACCACTCACTCTCTTAGGACCCATCGCTATTATGAAGAATAATGCACAAAATAGAGAGAAAATCACGTAGACAATGCAAACACAATACGGAAGACTTGCGGGAGATGCGTACGGAACTTGACGAACACGTGAAGTGAACATAGGAGGCGGCGTGGGCTGCTCCGAGTGCTCGGCCAACTAGCGTTGGTGTCTGTAAGCGTGCTCGTATCTCAAATCTTTACTTGTATCTCAAAGGAAAAAAAATTGCTCGAAGGGTTGCTCGTATCTCGGAATACTCGTATGTCGGGAGGCTCGTATCTCGAGGTTCCACTTTACGTCCCATACTTATAAGTATTATTTTATTATAGGCTACATTTCAAATCTAAAAACAAATGCATAACTGGATAGATGGAAAAACAAGTCCAATGAGGTTTCATCTCTACTTCTATTTTGATCGTTTCCAAGCATTTCCAGACAAAGATATGTGGTGCGCAAACTATTGGTAGGAGGATGAAGTTTTCTATGGAGATTTTTTTTGTGTTGTTTCCATTCAGCACATGGAAAAAAAAAAACAGAGGCATGGCTAAATAAATAATCCAAGGACTTCAGTGAGTTTGTTCTCTTGGCCTGCAGTCACATGCTCCACTTTTCTACCTCCTGTGCCGCCTCGGTTTATCACCACATGCATTACAAGTTTTATGAGTACTACTTTCCATGAATATTCATTAACATGTGTCAGTCTGTATCATGTCCTCACATATTCTCTCACAATTGGCAGAGCAACTGTAACCGGCCCCACCAGAGGATTTATGCTATCAGGCGCCTATGAATTCACTGCACAGCAACGAGCAGTGTTACGACATCTCACATTCAACCGGCATGTTTTCAGATCTGAAGAACATTACAGACCGAGATGCATTACCATTAGATCCCCCTCTGAGGTTATAGGGTAAGGAAATGTGACATTGTCCATGACATTGAAACAACTGACTGCCTCATCTATCACTAGGACGGCTAACGTGCACGTTCCCTACCGGTGCAGAGTTTCCCTTGAGCCTAAACAGCAGATATTCTTGCAGTGTTTTAATTCACTGCGTATCCATATTTCATTTTCTGCTGAAATCCCCGAGGTTAAACTTGCCGCAGTTTTCCCTCAACCAGCAAGAACCGCAAATACCTGGTGTATTGAACCGGGTCGGGTGATTGATGAAGTGGTCAATGGAAATGATCAAACAAATACAATTTTTAATTACACTAGCACGTTTTCCTGCTGGATTATGATTCATCTAAATAAAGGCATTTGGAAAAAATATGTGAAGCAGCAATGATTTGAATCAGAGTTTTCCATTTTTTTTCTCCCCATTCAAATCACTAAATAGTTCTAGAAAAGACTAACCGGTTCTAAAAACAGAATCGCTGTGCATTACCTTAATGATATCATCAGGGACTTTTCATCATCATGGACGATGGATTCCAAACTGTTATATAGGTTTATAGAGTTCTGTATACTGACTGCTGCCTTTTTGCCATTATCGCACTAATGCATCTAGTTCACATAGTGATATTACAGTATTTTCTAATTGGAATTAAATGTATAATTTAAAGTGATTGTTAAAGATAATAAATTATTAAAATGCATACCACGATGGTGGTAAAAGGTCACAGGGCATATCGGACATCAATATCCGATATGCTGATATTGTCCAAACACATCACTTCTGATTCCGATATAGTGGGGCAGTGGTGGCCTGGTGGTTAAGGAAGTTAAGCGCCGCCTGCTCACTAAGGCGGGTTGGTGGGTTAAAGCAGTGTTTCTCAATTATTTTCTGCCATGCCTCCTCTAGGGGACAGACGTTTTACCTTCCCCCTGCCCCTTGTAATATTTATTTATTTATTTGTACAAACCACTGTATGAGTTGCTGGCACCAGCATGCTGTATTCATATACTTGATCATTAGAATAGATTAATAAAATGAGCCGTATGCTGCCATCTAGTGACTTTCACTTTCATATACAGTCGTTTTCCCCCAAAAAACTATATTTAGGGCACACGTCATTTGGCGAAACCCAGGCATTGTCTTATCAGATTTTCATTATCGGAGGAAAAACCGATAACAGATATGACATAATTAAGGGTCCAATAATATCAGCGGACCGATAATATTGGCCTGACATTAGCATAATTATGCATCCCTAGAATTATGGATATATATATATATACATAATTCTAGAGATACATATGTATGCAAATCTATATATATATATATTTGCATAAATATGTATCTATATAGATAGATAGATAGATGGATGGATGGATGGATGGATGGATGGATGGATGGATGGATAGATAGATAGATAGATAGATAATCAATCCATCAACAAAAATCGAAAATCCGGACTTTTCTTTACTTACAACTTTCAATTTCCAACGTGCAGTTCTGTTCATCCAGAGGGTACCTCCTCAGGTCCATCATACAAGCAGCAGTGGTAGTTATTCTGAAAAACAAAAATGAGAAAAAATAAAAATAAAAATACAGAAGCATAAGGTTTATATCACAAAGGCATGACTTTCAGTTTGAATAAACGAAGGAGAAAAGTTGTCTTTTAAAGTTTCGAGAATTTCCCCAAACCAGATGTATTTTTAGTGCACAATAACTTCTTGATAATTTACCTGAAAATGTTTAGACCATTTAGAGTATTATAGAGTATGTTTGGCAAAAGCAGACATAAAAATAATACCACCCTGTTTTAGATGTGAACTGTAAGTGGTGTTCTTGTGATGTGATGCAATGCAATTTGGTCAATGTGGATTATTTATTGCCGGTTCAGTGATGTGCATGTCTGTCAGGTAGCAAATATACAGTATATGGAGCATTTTATTATCATCAATAAATCCGGTGATTGAGCACACAGCTGAACCTACAAATTATTCATGTGGGGGACGACGGCTTTTACACATTAACTACTGCATCGCATTTTATTAATTACATTTCTGTGGCTCATAGCTTGTGGTGTGTGTGTGTGTGTTCATCATAGCCTTTATTAACTTACACCTTCCTTGTATTAAGATAAAAAACAGACGCCAGTTTGTTCATCGCTTCGGCTCGATTTTTAACCCCAACTGTTTCTAAGCACACGTTATACAGCATGATGAGGTCTTCACGGCCCTGTTCGCTCATTAGAAACATTAGTAATCACGTTGTAGAGACAACCATCAATTGTTCCGGTGTTTGTCCATTGATTCGACAGTGCGGCCATTTACAGCAGCTAGAATTAATGACATAATAGACAATACAGCGCATGCAAATATACTGTCTGGAAATTGATCTTGGTGGGTGACCAGATTGAGAGGTTCAATTCGAGCACGTAGCATGTTCTTCACATCGAAACCAAGAAAAAAAACCAGAAAGTATCAACGTTTTACATACATTCATAAAAATGTATTTTTTTTCCTTTTCTCCTTTGTGCCACACTGCAAACATCACAACTGACAGAAGCGGAAGATTAACACAGCTGCTGAAAGTCCGAGCTTAGACGAATAGCTCACTTTTCCGAAGTGTGACTGTGAATGATTAAAGAATTGTCGTACAAGACACTGACACAATGCTCGATAACCCCCTTCTCTGCCTCATGCCATTTTGCAAATACGAAAGCTATCATATAGTTTATTTGGTACTGACCACATGAATACCATTCATTTCTATTAAATATTTAGTATCGACCTAGCTAACTGGGCCACATGGAATTTTTTCCTTCAGGTACTCTTGTTTTCTCCAAGAGTCCGAAAAAAACATATTGAGGATATATTTGTTCCTTTTCAGGGTCATGGGGGTCGCTGGAACCAATCCCAGCTATCTCCTGCCAAGGGTGGGGTACACCCTGGACAGTTTGCCAAACCATGCACATAGAGACAAACAACCATTCATACTGATAGACAATTTAGATTCTGGGTCTGATCAATCCAATCCTCTTACTGAGCTTGTTTTTGTTTTTTCGTGAACCCATGCACACAACGGCAGAATGATCTGCCAACTCCCTGGCGTTGCTTGTGGGGGCTCCGGGGGCAACCAATTGGGCCGTGCTGCACTAGTTTAACTGCGGTAAGTAATTTTGTGGAGGTTCTCTGTATCTATAACAGCATCTCGTAACCTGCTTGAAAATAAAAAAGAGACACAATTGTTCCTTTATATGCCGATGATGGCTCTTTAACGGTCTTCACATCAGGCCAATGTGGAAGAAGTATTTGGAAGCTGTTATCTTTGTTGAATCAATCCTGTTGGTTATATTTGTTTAGAGCAGTGGTGATACCCCCCCCCCCAAAAAAAATCTGTAATTAGTAATTTATTTTTGTGAATGTATTTTTTTCATTTGCTATAGATCATACGTGTCAAACTCAAGGCCTGGGGGCCAAATGTGGCCCGCCAAGCCGTTTTGTGTGGCCCGCGGGAGCTTAAAAAGTATTTGGTAAAGTCCATGCAGCAGAGTTTCTTAACCTAAGAAATTAAAGAAGATTTTATAATCAATCAAATAATAATCAACTGCAGAAACATGTATTAGTCTGTTATGGAGTAGTTACATCTATACCAGCGGTCCCCAACCTTTTTTGTCCCAAGGACTGGTCAGCCACTACCACCTGTAAATACAGACTATTCTGTACTATAATCTATTCTGTTTGTATCATGTCTGAATGACTTTATTTTAAATATTGCCAGAATATCTTTAAAGCAGACCGGTACCTGTATTTTTCGGTCTGTATTTTAGACTCTATTCTGTTTCATGTCCGAATGACCTGTTATTTTAAATATTGCCAGGTTATCTTTAAATAAAGAAAGTAAATGGATATGTCAGGATTTTCTTATGAAGTAAATGAGTAAAAGTTAAGTACATTTTTTTTTCACTGTGTCCTGGTACTAAATGACCTATGGACTGGTACTGGTCCACAGACCAGGGGTTGGGGACCCCTGATCTATACAGTCTTCCATTTACAACCGGCCCTTTCAAGGGGAACTGTATTGCTAATGTGGGCCCCTGGTGAAAATGAGTTTGACACCCCTGCTATAAATGGTCAAGTAAGAATTTTACAAAATAATATAAACGTTTTTAAAAATGAAATAAAAAGTATCTATGTTTTTCAATTAAGAATGTTACAATTAAGAATGTTACAAAATAATATAAACGTTTTTTAAAATGAAATAAAAAGTATCTATGTTTTTGTATTGATTATCAAACACTGATGTGTCCCTGACATCGCAAACAGAGCCCCTCAGCTCATTTGGGTTTCAGACTCGTGGTTCAGAGACTCAATGTCAGCGAAAAATTAAATCAGTGGGAAAACTAACTGACAATACTGCTCCACACCCCCATCCCAGCCACAGTCACTGACATAAAACGTAAACCATTCGGTAAGCCGCTTCAAAATCCGAGCCATGTTCTGTACAGAACCAAACTGAATATCTTGTCAGGAGTTATAGTTTCAACCCCTGGGGCAGTAGTGAGTAAAAGCACCAAAATCCTAATATAAGCGGCAGCTTGACGTAACGTACAGAAATAAATATGTAACGCCATGGCAGACAGACAATAAAAATGACTTTTAATGTGACACTTAAAAAGCCAGAAGAGAATCACCGGTGAGTAGGAGCAGCAGATGTAGGTCAGCTCAACTCACAGTTCCACACATGATGGTAAGCCAGCATGACACTCTTCAGCAAGTTTTACAGGCTTTGCAATGTTATTATTAGGGATGTCCGGGATGATATCGGTCGGCCGATATCATCGGCCCGATATTAGCATATTTTGTAATGTCTGTAGGAATCGCTATTGGTTTGGTCTTCCGATAACGAAAACCCGATTTCGCCCGGGTTTCGCCAAATGACGTGTGCTCTAAAAAATAGGTTAATGCCCCCGCGACAGACCAGTCAGGTTCCTGTCCCATACCTGTAACTGTTAACGCCTTCATAACACATGAACACAGAACGAAAAACAAGCCTCTAGTCACTAGATTAATATTGATAATCAGGCGATTGTATGCAGAATGCTGGTGCCAGCAACTCATACAGTGGTTTGTACAGATAAAGAAATAAATATTACCAGGCGCTCAACAGTATTTCAGTACTGTCCCCTGGGGTATTGGGACAGAAAATAATTGAGAAACTCGGTTCTAACCCATCACCTTAGAGCGAGAGAGCGAGAAAGAAAGAGAGCTGTAATTTGTAAATAAACGTGTTACACATTAGCACAATTGAAGATGCCACTGCGTTCAATTAGGTCCATTAACAGGAAGTATAAATCCTTTACAAAGTTTTTTTTTTTTTTTTTAGACAGCACTCGGCTCCTCTGACCACAAATCATTTTAGCACGAAACCACAATTTGGATCATCTTGGAGGTGGATCCCAGAGGCTCTCCACACAGACACCAGGGAATTCACAAACTGTGAGCGTTAAGTTTTGACGCCTACACAGTCTACACTGTGAGGTAGCTGGTGGGCCAAAAGGAGATTATTGTACTATCAACAGATAAACACCGTGGTTACATCAACAAAAAAGATATAGGAGCAGAGCGACAGGGGCGGGGACAAAGAAAACACCATCTGGTTAAAGCTGAGCTCAAAAAAAAAAAAAAAGAAAAAAATCCCTCAATGCTCTGAGGACCGTCTACATTAAAAAAGTGGATCGTCAGTCTGCTAACAATGAGTCAGCCGCTTATGTCACAGTTAAGTTGGGAAAGAAACCTGCTATGTCATGCACCCCGAGTTGCACACATTCTACTGACACTGACTTTTTTGATGTTTAGATGATGAGTTTTTTGTTTGTTAGGCTCCA